GTATCTTTATAGCAGTGCTCCACTCTCCTGGTACCAATTTTCTGTAGTAGTCCATTTTTACACTGCTATAAAGAACTACCTGAGAATGGGTAATTTATGAAGAAAGGTGGTTCAACTCACAGTTCTGCAGACTGAAGGAAACATGACTGGGAGGCCTTGAGAAGCTTACAATCATGGTGAAAGGCAAAGGGAAAGCAAATACATCTTACCATGATGGCAGGAGAGAGCAAGAGAAGGAAGAAGAGCTACACACTTATCAAACAACCAGATCTTGTGAGAACTTTATCATAAGAACAGAAAGGGGGAGGTCTGCCCCCAGGAATCAATCACTTCCCTTGAGGCCCCTCCTCTGACACATGGGGATTACAGTTCAAGATAAGATTTGGGTGGGGACACAGAGCCAAACCATATCACCACTTATAAAGACCTTCATCAACTGTGTTAGCTGATATATCATGGGAAATATTGGAGCATTTTAAATAGGATTAGACATAAATTGGTTTCAAAACACAGTGATTCACAATCTCTATATGCTTATCCTGCCATAATGTTATTTCTCCCTAAATCCTGCCCTGTGACCTCCTAGGGAGTTCTCTATGACTAGTTATCTCAGAAGGAAAGAAAGTTTTGTTTTCAGATGGTTATGCTCATTATTTGGCACTTACTAAAGATAGACTGCTGGAAGTTATAGCTCTACTCAGAACTAGCTCAGAAAGTCTGTGAAAAATGGAAACCTTCTCACTGGGAGTAACTTCAAACTGTACATCTGATGGTTCACTTTGCCTAGAAGGAAAGATGGTTTGAGATAAGGTTCTGTATCAATTCACAGTTAGTGCCTGATGGTTTGGCTGAGTGCTCAGGGGCTTTGAAAGAATAAGGTTGCAGAATTAATATCAAGGAGGTTTGGGTAGGAAGTATGAGGTTATGCCTCTCAGAATAGACTCAGAGTATGAAGGATACTTGTTAATCCATGTGAATATTCTCCACTGAGGAGGAGGTTTGTTCATTGCATTTTTTGTTTTCCTGTTACATAATAAACCCAAATGAAAGCAGTCCTAAATAAGCCTAAGCAGTTATCCTCACCGATTTGCTAACACAGTTTAGCTTTTCTTGTCTGGATTAATTCAAGGCCACAAAGAAAATATAATAAACTCTTAAAAGTATTATAGAATGCATATGCTGCATTCTTTAAACAAAATGTAGTAAGAAATTTTCAATATAGAAGCCAAAAACTGATCTATTCTCATAAAGATTTTAAAACACTGTACTAAATAACTCCTAGACTAAGAAAAAGTTGTTCCCACAATTATCACTATGTAAAAATGAGAAATAATAAGATCATTAAATTTTGAAAGCTGTTGGGTTAAAATAATACGCAAAGTAAAAATGTAGCCTTTAATGTTTTATTTGTGAAAAAAGACTGAAGATCAATGAATTCCTTTATATTAATTTAGTTTAAGAAGCTAGATAAACAAAATTAAAATAAATCCAAAGAAAGAAGAATCAATTAATAACAAAAACAGCAATTAATTAAATAGAAAAAAGTACATATAATCAGAAGAGCTGAGTCTCTTTTTTAAAGCACATTTAATGTAACTTTGACAAGCTTGATCAAGTTAAAAGAAGAAAGATACATGCAAAATTAATTAAAACTAAAAATGCTACACATTCTTCAGATGCAAGGGTAGATTAAAGTTATATACATACACTATTCACAGATTAAATCGACAAATTAAAAATTAATATGAAATATATGATTGTCTAAAAAATACTATATTAACTGGGAAGAGTTAGAAATCCTAAGTCTCAAAATCATAGAAGAAAAGAAAAATATGGTCAAAGAAGTAGTCTTAAATAGGGAGCAAGTCCAGAGAATTTTACAGATAAATTTAACTACTTCTAAGAAATATACACTTACATTACAGACAAATTTAACCACATTATTCAGAGAATAGAAGATGAAAAGCACTCTGACTCATTCTATGAAGCTAGCATAAAGTGATTCCAAACTAGGATAGCACCAAAAGGAAAAATATGGGCCATCTCACTTAAGGATAATGATGTTAAGGCCTAATATAACAACATATTTAAAGAATGCTGTAGCACAACCATACCAGATCTAGTCAATCAGCACTCACACCCATTCCCACCTCCTTTGTTGTGCCTGCCAGTGCTTCAAAGTCTGGAAAGCTATGAACAACATTTTTTAGACTTTCTTTCAATTATGTTATTGATGTAAATGTGGAACCTATTAAATTCAATAGCATGAGATGTGGGAAGTAAAAACAAAGCAGGGGCTAATTTCTTGCTGGTGTTTCTGCTGATGAACAAGATCACAGA